CCAAAGTGTTTGTCGACTGTGGGGCCACAGTCAACATTATGCCAATATCTGTCATGAAGGCTTTGCGCCGTTCTGATAATGAGCTCATTCCGTCAGGGATCACTATGAGCAGCTTCATTGGTGACAAGTCTCAGACCAAAGGAGTGTTACCATTGGAGGTTAGCATTGCCGGTCGCCAACACATGACGGCATTCTTCATAATTGATTCCAAGACCGATTATAACGCATTACTTGGTCGAGACTGGATCCACCAAACCAGTTGCATTCCTTCATCACTGTACCAAGTTCTCATCTTCTGGGATGGCAAATCGGTTACCATCCATCCAGCCGATAATCAACCATTTGAGACCAACATGATTCAGGCTCGCTATTATGATGATCACGTCGGCTACATCACCCTCCAAGGTCTTAACGAGGATGGGCGGCCGACGCGAATTTCAGTGCAGAAAGTGATTGAGGTCGGCGCCGAGACTGTCCAACAGGATTCGGCGAGACTTGGCTTGGCAGATTTGGTCCCCAATACCGATGATTGAGCATACCAAACAAGAACAGCGTCAGGCCGCGGTTTCGTCAACAATGGAACGTCTGCTGGCCCATTGGTACGCCATTACCAAGCAACCGCATTCTGGCATTAATTTAATTGAATTTTTGGCCGAAGCAGATGACGGCCCTGTTTTGTCTCTCGAGAAAGTTCGGGCTGCCCCGGCCGAACTCGAGGACCATCGGCCTCAAGTCAAGGACCCATTAGAGGAAGTTAACGTAGGCACGGCCGATGATCCTCGCATATTGTTTATAAGTGCGTTACTCCCACCGGCCATGAAGGCCGAACTCCGTAAGTTACTCCAGGAATTTAAAGATTGCTTTGCGTGGAGTTACCATGAAATGCCAGGCCTCGATCGAAACTTGGTCGAGCATGAACTACGCATCAGAGACGGTTGTAAGCCTTTTCGACAACCCCCTCGCCGATTCTCGACCGAGTTACAACTCGGCATTAAGGAAGAATTGGTTCGGCTTCTCAAGGCCGGATTTATTAGGACCGCTCGCTACGTCGAATGGTTGGCCAATATCGTTCCAGTGTTGAAGAAAAACGGTGCCCTCCGCATTTGCACCGATTTCCGTAACCTGAATCTGGCGACTCCCAAGGACGCATATACAATGCCAATTTCAGATTTGCTTATTGATGCCGCAGCTAATCATGAACTACTATCTTTTATGGACGGTCATGCGGGATACAACCAGATTTTCATCGCCGAAGCCGACGTCCACAAAACGGCTTTCCGTTGCCCAGGGGCACTGGGCACGTACGAATGGGTAGTCATGCCATTCGGCCTCAAGAATGCCGGCGCCACATACCAACGAGCCATGAATATGATCTTCCACGACTTAATTGGGACCATCGTCGAAGTTTATATCGACGATGTGGTGGTAAAGTCGAAACGCCGCCAAACACACCTGGATGACCTACGACAAACGTTCCTTCGCATGCGCAAGAATAGTCTCAAGATGAACCCAGCCAAGTGTGCTTTCGGTGTTTCGGCCGGTAATTTCCTAGGGTTTTTGGTGCACCATCGCGGCATCGAAGTAGACGCCAATAAAGCCAGCGCCATCATTAGCGCCCCACCTCCCACAACAAAGAAGCAGTTGCAGTCGTTACTCGGACAGATCAACTTCCTCCGCCGTTTCATCGCCAATTCGGCCGGTAAAATGAAGGCATTTTCTACTCTCCTCAAACTTAAGGATACCGATAAATTTGTTTGGCGCGAAGAACATCAGAGTGCATTCACGCAGATCAAGGTGGCCCTTTCGACCCCACCCGTGCTGGTTCCACCTTGTCGCACCAAACCCCTCAAATTATACATTTCGGCAGCCGCCGAATCCATTGGTTGTCTCCTTGCGCAAGACAACAACGTCGGTCGTGAGCAAGCTATCTTTTATCTTAGCCGAAATCTGAATGCACCAGAGCTCAATTACTCACCGGTCGAAAAACTTTGCTTAGCTTTGTTTTTTGCCGCATCCAAGCTTCGGCATTACATGCTCCCATCAGTTACGCAGGTCATCGCCCAGACAGACGTAATTCGTTACATGCTCACTCGGCCTATCGTTAAAGGCCGAATCGGGAAATGGACACTCGCCTTATCCGAATTTAGCCTGCAGTACGTTCCCCAAAAAGCGGTCAAGGGGCAGGCTCTCGCCGATTTCTTGGCCCAGCACCCTTCCCCATATGGTTTTGAAGGGGGCGATGTCGACATCGGTCTAGTCACCACACGCGATAACCATTGGACTATGCATTTCGATGGATCCAGTACTTCGACCTCGGCAGGTGTCGGCATCGCAATTCAGTCGCCCGACCACTGCCGATGGTGCTTCTCTCTCAAGTTGGATTTCAGCTGCACAAACAATCAGGCCGAATATGAAGCCCTCATTATCGGTCTCCACGTTTTACACGATCTACGGGCCTCCCGTGTTCTTGTCCTCGGTGATTCCGAACTTGTGATTAACCAATTGAACGGCATTTTTCGCTGCATGAGTTGTACTTTGGCGCCATATCACATGGTCGCCACCTACCTGGCCGAGTCCTTTGAACGGATCACGTTTGAACATATTTCCCGAATCCACAACACCGATGCCGATGAACTCGCTCAGATCGCCTCCGGAGCACAACTCATGGGGGGCAAACTCGGCCGCGTCGCGGCCACAGGCCTGCAATCGTACCCGGCCTTGATCGATCGGCAAACCCTCCAGCGCACACACGTAATACGAACAAGGGTAATGTCGCTCCCATCCCTACTAGAACGAGGAGACCCCGTAGAAATATGTGCCGTCGAGGTAGAACCAGATGATTGGAGAAAAACGATGTTACGGTACCTCGATAATCCCAACGGGAAACACGATCGGAGAACGAAGGTCTTTGCCACGAATTACGTGTCGTATCAAAATGAATTATATCGCAAGGGCGAGGATGGGTTACTGTTATTGTGCCTCGGCCCAGACGAGGCTGCCCAAGCAATGGCCGAAGTACATGAAGGAATTTGCGGAGCACATCAGTCTGGACGAAAGATGCGTTGGTTGCTCCGACGTCACGGTTACTTTTGGCCCAGCATATTAAAGGATTGCATTGAATACGCACGGAGATGCGTACCATGCCAAATTCATGGACACGTACAGAGAGCCCCGGCCGAATTGCTACATTCCGTCACCAAACCATGGCCGTTCAGAGGTTGGGCAATGGACGTGATTGGCAAAATCACGCCATCATCGGGGGCAGCGAAACATGCGTGGATTATGGTAGCAACTGACTATTTCACTAAGTGGGTCGAGGCAAGGTCATACGCCGAATTAACGGCCAAGGAGGTATGCAATTTCGTAGAGGAAAATATTGTGACCAGATTCGGCGTGCCAGAAACGATCATAACTGATAATGGCACTATCTTCACGGCTGATAGGTTTAAGGAATACGCAGCAAGTTTGAACATCCGACTCGAGCAATCTACGCCGTATTACCCACAGGCAAACGGGCAGGCTGAGGCAAGCAATAAAGTGTTGATCGGTATCCTTGAAAAAATGGTAAAAGAGAAACCTGGGTTGTGGCACTTGAAGATAAATGAAGCGTTATGGGCATACCGAACTTCACCCCGCTCGGCCACTGGAACCACCCCTTACGCGTTAACTTACGGACACGACGCCATGTTACCGGTCGAGTTGAGTATAAATTCGTTACGAGTAATCGAGCAGAGTAACTTGTTCAGTATTGAATATTGTCAAGCGATGCGGCAGGAATTAGAAGATTTAGAAGAAAGTCGAATCGACGCGAGTAACTTACTGGTAGCACAAAAGAAAATTGCCGAACGAGCGTATAACCAGCGTGTAAGACAAAAAACGTTCGGCGAAGGAGAATTGGTTTGGCAAACTGTGTTGCCTATTGGGATTAAGGACCCAAGATTTGGGAAGTGGTCGCCGAATTGGGAAGGGCCATTCGTTGTTCACAAAGTCCTCGGCAAGGGGGCATATCATCTGAGAGATCGGACGGGTTCAGTTCATAAATTACCGATTAATGGAAAGTTTTTAAAGAAGTACTATCCAATTACATGGGAAATGCAAGAGTAAGACTATTGCATTAATAGCAAAGGATCATTGTATTGATAGCAAAAAGATTTATTACAAAAACCAATACAAATACAATGATAGGCTCCTAAGGGGTCGAGGGGAGGAAAGTCTCAAGGGCAGCTTTCAGCTCCAGCCACTTCGCCTCGCCCAGGATGATCTCGGCCTGCCTGGTCTTCTTGTTAAGCTGCAGCTGCTGGACATGCCGTGCACCAGCAGCAAAGGCCGTCAGCCGAGCCTTGCTAGCCTCGAAATCCTTCTCAAGCTCGGCAGCGGCAACGGACCTTTGCCGTTGAAGGTCAGAAATCTGACGTTGGAGGTCAAAAATCTGGCGATCAAACTCTGTCAGCTTCGCCTTCTTGGCTTTAAGTGCCTCCATCTCAGATCGGCCGGCTTCTTGCGCGACCTTGGCAGCCTTCAAGTCATCCTCAGCTTGAAGGGCTCGCTCGAAGATGTAGAAGTGTTGCCGAGTTCGTTCCAGGAGGTCGGTCAGAAAAGAGATACCCTCCGGGCTCAGATGACCACCGCTGGCGAGGTCATTGAGACATTCTCCAACGGAGTCGAGGCCTTTGCACCGAAGAGCTTGGGAGGCAGTCAGAGACAAGACTTCGTGCAGCTTCACGAAGACCTCGGCAGGCGTAGTTCCCGCCGATTCGGCTGGAACAGCAGAAGAACCAGCCTCACCGGTCGTGCTCTGAAGAAGGGCGTCAAGCTCTACTTCCCACGACGGCTGCACATAAAAGAAGATCGGTAAGAAGGAAAGACAGACGTCGTGGTATAATGCATAAAGGAAAAGGGGATTGTTTTAGACCTGCCGAGAGGAGACTTCGGCCATGCCCTCTGGGTTATTGCTCGAACCCAGGGAACTTAATGGCCGAGCCCAGTGCCTTAGACCGCTACGCAATTCACGCGGCCGATGGAGGTTATCTATATTTGATGGCCACGACGGCGGCCAGGAAATATAAATAACACCCCTCGGCGCATAAAATTGCCGGTGAAATGAATGATCGGGCACCTGACATTTTAATAATCTTTTAAGAACGTGTCATTGGAAAATTAATACAAAAAATAGAAGACTTACATAGGCCGAGGAGACTTCCTGCGGAGGAATGGGGAGATCTGCATCCTGCGGATGGATCGGCGACTCGGCCGTGGCCTCAGGGTCGGCCATGGGCCTCTTGCCGCGATCCGCCGCAGGAGGAGTCGGTCGATCGGTCGCATCAACAATCGGAGGAGGATGAACGAGAGAAGAATTAACTCGTCCGCGACGGCGTTCCAGCGGGACTTCGTCACTTTCGCTCCCGATATCCTGAACATAAAGAGAACATTTAGCATTACGACCAGAGACCTAAGGAAACAAGTGGAAGTAGAATTTTACCTCCAGAATGACCGTGGGAGTCGAGGGCGCACCAATAGGCGCAGCCGGTTTACCCATCGCAGGCGCCACGGCCGGCTCCGAAGCTGGAGCTGGTGTGACGATTGGATCGGCTGTGGCTCCAGGGAGGGGAACGACCGGAGGGATCGGGAGTGGAGATGCCGGGGCAACCGGCACAGTAGGAGAACCGGCAGAAGCAGGCGTCCCAGTAACGTCACTGGAGACGACATGAATCTCCCGGTCGCCATTCTTCGCCAATTTCTTGACGCGTTTAGAAGGGCGAAGGACATCAATCTCCGGCTCGGCCTCTCGGTGGGGGCGTTTGGAGGGGATTGGCCGCTCGGTGGCGATGGTTTTCCTCTTGGGCGCCAACTTCTTCACCCTCGCCGCCGCGGCAACCACTTCAACCTTCTTCGCCCCACGACCCCCTGAAATAGGCAAAGTAATTGTTAACAAGGGCAAGTTTTGAAATGACAAAGTAATTAGTCAACAATATACCTTGAGCCGACTCCTTAGGTTGGGTCGAGGGCGCTAGTTCGGGCCGATCGCCAAAAACTTTGCTCACCACTTCTTCGACCGAGACGCCGAAGAAGTCGCAGGTGTACTCGTCCCACCAATCCCCAAAAGTCTCGGTGCCCAAGGATTCCGGGACGATCGGCCGAGGACGGAACTTCTTACACCGATCTTGGAATTCTTGCTCCATCGATCGGCATTCCCTCTCGGAAGAACCAGAAAGACGCCCCCGGCTCAAGAGGGAACGGGAGGTGAGCAATGGAACGGGGCAACCTTGGAGGTAGCCGAGTTGCCGGGCGACAAAGTGGGGGTGGTAGACCTCCCAGCTGGCTCGGCGGGCGTCGCAACCAAGGGAAGGTCGCGAGCCAGTACGATTGACCCCCAGGATTGACGGAGGCCTGCATCTCGGCCTCGGCCCAGGCTGCCGTTGGGAGCCCAATCGAAGCAGGGTACTCCTGGCGCCGGCACACCAGGAACTCGTCGTCCGAAAGGACGTCGAGACTGAAAAAGTGCTTAAGGACCTCGTCAGCCCGGTGAGGAGGTGCCGGTCGGGAGGCCAGTTGGGGGCCGAGAGCGGCCGAGCGCTGGAAAGCGGGGATCTCTGGCCGAAGAGTGGAAAAATAGATCTGCAGCCAGAGTTGGAAGACCCAGAGGGGCCCGTTCTGGTGCGGGTCGATTTTGTTGATGGTCGTCTCGGCCAAGCAACGGAAAAGGTTGGCAAGAATAGCCGGGCTGAACGCCAAAGAGTGACCACTAGCCAGGGCCTGGGCCACCGGCATATTCTCGACCAAGCACTTGTTCGACCTGGTACAACAAATAAATTTGTTGTACCAGTAGAAGAGGAAGGCTTCATGTTCCCCCTTCCTGAGATTCTCTTTCCCCCGGCCGGCGAAATGGAGGATGAGGGTGTTGTAATTGAAGAAGTTTTTGTGAAGCTTGTGAACTTCTTCTCTCGAAGGCTCCCGACCGCCTCTGCTGAGCGTTTCGACGGCCCGCTCGTCGAAAAGCGCCTTCAGGTCAAGAGAGGAGGGGCATCCTGAAAGAGCGGCATCAATTGGGAGGCCGGATGGAGAAGTCCCAAGGATAGCCGAGACGTCGAGCACTGTGGGGCCTAGGGGGCCAAATGGAAGGATCATAGTGTTGGTAGCCGAGCACCACAGGGTCAAGGCCGCCATGAGCAGCTCTTTGTCCATGGTAATCTCCACGGTCGAGAGCATGATGGCATCATAGATACCAAGAGCTTTCCACTCCTCGCCGAAGAATGATCTCATTCGGTCCACCCAGGCGGCCCAAGCTGTGGTGGTCGAGGGCCAGGCTCCTTGAGGCCGAGCCAAGGACCATTTCGACCAGTCCAACCCTTGAAGCAGGGGTGTAAGGCACTGCTCCTTGAGAAGGTCGGTGATGCACGACGGCACTGCATCTTTGAAAATTGGGCCCAGGATCTGATGAGAAGCGGCCATGTCATCCTCGAAGCGTACCGTTTTGATTGTGTTCCGGTCGATAAAGTCCTTGCATTTGTTGATCTCCTCGGAAAGCTTCGAAATGAAGGAGGCCATTTGTGGAAAAAAAAGGTGTGTTGGAAGGAAATATTGCAGGAAGAAGAACTGGGGAAAATATTGCAGAAGGACTAGAGTTTTGGTTTGAACAAGCAAGGGAGTTTGGAATATCTGAAGACGTAAGAAGCGAATAGATTGAAATGTGGGTATTTATAGGCTTTTCAGATGGAAAATCAAACGCTTGATTTGAAAGACACTGGATTTGAAAAGCGTGGTTCCAAATTGGGGGGAAAGTTAACCGGGAAAGTCTGCAATTATTTCGGATATTTCGGGAACATGCGAAAATGGAATCGAGGAGTCGAAAATCCAGGACGCACGATTGCGTGCGGCGACAAGTTCAATGTATTTAATGAGGATAAGACGGTTCAATAGTGCACGGTTTCGAGGCCCATGATTGAAGCTTTTGAACGACGGAGAATCGACACGTGGCCACGCGTTGAGGACAGCAAGGAAGGTGCATCATGTCTCATAAATATGCAGGAATAATGGTCATTAATGAAGTAAGGTCCAGAAGAGCAATAAATGTTTTCGCTTCTTCAAGGCCGAGAGCCGACCAAGAGTGACAGTCGGCGACCTCAGAAGCGAGGGGGCATGTTTGGGCCCAAAATATTAGGATTGGGCCGAGCAGCAGGATGTGCTCCGCCCAAGGTAATAACACATGCTATGGGCCAAATAATGAGACTCGGACCAGCTGGCAGGGTCGGCTAGATCCTATCTTAAGTAGTCCAGATAAACGAGGAAAGGTCGAGGAAATCCTGATGCAACCAGGATTCTCGACCGGCAAGGGGTAAAACCTCAAAAGTAGGAGAATTCAGAATCCCAATAGACTGGGATTGTTTGAATTAAAGGTGAGATGGGACAAGGACTCCCAATCCAAATCAGAATGGGAATCAAGGAGCGAGGTGCTATAAATACAAGAAATTACGCAATAGAAAAGCCCCTTCAACATCAGCATACAATTGCCCTGCGCAAATTCTCTCAAACACCTTGAGATTTTTTCCTTTTCTTTTCCCGCCGACACACCTTCAGTTTGGATAAACAGCACTGTGGAAGCAACCGGTGAGCACCTTCAGTTTGGATAAACAGCACTGCTGCCGCAGAATCAGCCGACCAAGACACACCTTCAGTTTGGACAAACAGCACTGCGTCGAGGTCGACCGATTACCTATCTAAGTCTCGGCCGAGGAAGGTTTTTCGAACCTTTGTTGGTAGAGGTCATCTTACTAAGCCGTTTCGGCATAGTTGGGTGTTACGGATTGCCTTGCTCGGCGCATTGGAGGCCGAGTGAGTTTATGATTGGATACTCACGAGTAAGTTTCAGGGTTCGGCATTCCGACGGCCGAACTACGTTCACCATCAAGACATACATCACATTCGAGTACCTGTGCCCGTATAGTTTGGTCTCAATTCGGCGTGCTTATACTCTTACGAATATAATCACAGTGGCCGAATCAGGCTTCGACGAGTTGTGAACTCCGTAGAATTAGTAGCCTTGTCTTCAGGCTATAGAATCCAGAGACCGAGAGCGTTCCTTCCTCGGTCGCAATCGCAAGATACAGAAGTCAACAGCGCGCTCAACGCGACCGCATCAAATTTTACTCCTCGGCCGAGCTCGGCCGACGAGTTGGCACGCCCTGCATTCAACCGAAGGACATTAGTTAGCTCATTAGTTATTCGGCCTGCGCGCCACGTAGGTTCTGTAATTTTTGTAGTCAACAATAACACTTAAGACCAAATGTGTAACCTTTAGGCACTTAATCACATCAGGACATTATTTTAACAAAAACAGAAAAATATTGCATGAAATTTTTTTCTGCGAAAAAAAGAAAGGGAAATAGGGGAAAGCAAAAGCATTTCCCCCCATACATACTTGCTAAAAGTTACCATAGTAAACCACAACATATAAAAAAATTTACAACACATTGATAAAAAGACCATGTGTCAATACACTTTAGCTAACCATTTTCTGGGCATAAACAGAACCACCACTGACTAAATAATAATGTTCTGCCAAACTAACATAATACTAAAACCGCAAAATAAGAATAAGTCATAAAAATACATGACATAAGAGAAAGTAGAAAGCAAAGAAAATTGAAGGGAAACCAAATAATCTCAACTAATTGAACACCTAATTTCTGTAAATACCAAACTAATAGCTCCTTATACATAGTTGCCACTTATTACAATAAACCACAGCAATGCATAAAAAGCTTTACAAACACATTCTAATTAAAATCTAGGGAAAAAAATGTTAAGTTTTTTCTATTTTAAAATCAAAGAAACAAACCCACAGATTTAAATAACCATGTGAATCTTACCCTCAAATGTTTCATAAGCACCAAAACTATCTAAGATGTTGTTCTCCCCTTTTGCAAATGCCAACCTGCAAAACAAATCAAGCAACCAAAAAAAAAAAAAAAAACGAAAGGGTAAGTAACAAAGCTCAAAAACCCTAGCACAAAATGTCATAAACAGGGATAAAAATGGTCAGCAAGTCTAACTACGACAGATAACAGTGTAAATGTTACTAATATAACTGTCACACATAATAAACAACAATATTAAACTGGAATATTAATCAGCAATTATATACCATTATAAATGTTATCAAAATGAGCTGCAATACAAAGCAGTGAAGCTTTATACCCACCAGATCCTTCTCACAGTCCCAAATCCAAATAACGACTTCAAATCCATAAAATTACAATGAAATTAATACCATAATGTACCAAACAACTGTAAAAAATAAAATGCAGCAAAGGCAAACATGAATTCAACAGGCCAAATAAGCAAAAAGATTCATACCTCATTGAATTTTGAACTTGATTCTCTCGCTAAAAAATCTTAATCTACAAAACCAAATTAGTTTTATTAATAATAAAGTAACACGATAATGCATCAAACAACATTGAAAAATAAATCTAATAAAGGTAAAGATGAATTCAACAATCTAAATAAGCGTAAGCATTGATACCTGAACTGAATTTGCAGGTTAATTTTGTTGTTTAAAAATTCTGATATACAAAACCAAATCAATTTCTATT